ATATTATTATTTTTGTATTTTTGAGACAGGGTCTCACTATGCAGTTCAGGCTGAACTTGAGCTCACTTTGTAGCTCATGCTGGTCTCCAACTTGCAACAATCCTCCTGCCTCAGCCTCCCACATGCTGTGATTAGGCATGCACCACCAGGCCTGGCTCTCCTATATTTTTTTTCCATATAAGTAAACATCTCTGTTGAGTTTGTACCCTGGAATGTGTTGCTAGACTATAGAATAGGTATATATTCAGTTCCAGTAGATATTACTGATGTACAGTTTTCCAAAGTGGTTGTTACCAATTTTATACTCTCACCAGCAGCGTGTGGAACCAATTGCTCCACATCCTTACCAACATTAGTATTGTTAATCTTTCTAGATGTGTGCAGTGAAGCATCATTGTGGTCTTATTTTGCAAAGCTCTACTATAACACCCTTAGCTGCTTTTTAAAAAAAAAAAAAAATTTATCTGCTTTTTACTCTCTGCAGGCTAAACTGATTTTCTAGGCAGGTTCTAACTGTCATTTGTTTCTAAGCTTAGTTTTCGAAAATAGATTGATTTGAATTAGTAAATGTACATTTTTTAACTTGCAAAGGAATTGCGGTTTTATAAAATTTATTCCTGTGGCCAACAACCGCGGCCCCGGAAAAGCCCAGAATATTCCTAGCAACAGATCTCCGAGCCCTCCTTATCTGATGCAAAGAAGAAACCTAAAACCGGATGTTGATTCTTTTGTCGTAGTAACGCCGGGGAGTCCGGAAGTAACGTCAGAGGAAGAGGAAGTGAAGCGACTGGTGACCCACGTGGATTGCACACAAGTTTCTGAGTCTCTGAGAGCCGCGCCTGTAAGTCGTTCCCGGGTCCCCGTTTAGACAGCATGGGTCGCTCGGGAAAGTTGCCCTCCGGTGCCTCGGCTAAGTTAAAGCGCTGGAAGAAAGGCCACAGCAGCGACAGCAACCCCACCATCTACCGCCACCGCCAGGCCGCGCGCAGCCGCTTCTTCAGCCGGCCGTCAGGTAGGAGATGGGCTCCCGGGGACCCGGGCCTGGGTGCGGACGGGCCCGGGCGTTGGGCCTTTCCCTTTCAGACTGTCGGGCCTGGAGCTTCCTGCAGAGGCCCGCGCTTCCCGTTTAACCTGCAGAAACTGCCCAGAGTGGGAGTCCTGCGGGTGACGGTCGGAGCGGGGACGCGGAGCCTCCCCGCTCGCGTTTCCCCGGCCTCTGAGTGCGCTTGCGGGGTCGCTTTTCGCCTTGGTCTGCCGAGTTACAGGCTTACGGCAGGGCTGTCGCGGCAGGCTGGGTTCAAATTCAGTCTCGAGCTGGGGGTCCGGACTGGGCTGATTAGTTTCACCGCGATGTTGTGTTCTTTCGGCCAGAAGGAGGTTGGGTCGAAGTGGGGGGGCCTTACCTTGTGCTTCTGCTTCTCAGGAAAGAGCGACCTGACTGCTGACGCTGTGAGGTTGCACAATGAGCTGCAGTCGGGGTCCCTGCACCTTGGCAAAAGCGCAGCCCTCGAGATTGCTGCGGGAGAAGGCGAGGAGCTGGCGTTCACAGAGAAGTCCTCGGGCACCTTCCTGAGCGGCCTCTCTGACTGCACAAATGTCACCTTCAGCAAAGTGCAGCGCTTCTGGGAGTCCAACTCGGCTGCCCACAAGGAGGTAGCAGGGAGGGGGAGGATGAGGAGGAGGGACCAGACTCGCGCAGTTTATTTTTTTCCAGCTCTGGTGACAGCAGCTGGTATTTTTGGATGCTGTGTCATCTCTCCTACCCTTTGTGTCCCCTACATACTACTCTCCTAGAGCGAGTTCCACCTTCCGCTTATTTCTGTTGTTGTTACTGCTTGAGTCAGGGTCTCACCAGCTGTGTAGTCCATTCTGTAGTCCATTTGAACTCGAGGTCCTACTGGCTCAGCCTTCAGGAGTGCTGCAGTTACAGGCATGTACTATCATACCAAGTCCCCACTTTCCACTTTTTGTAAGAACATATGTTCTGCTGAAGTGTTAGACAGCCCTACCAGAGGGTAGAAGTATTTTCTAGACATTTATCTCCTCCATTGTTCCTAAAACAGGACCTTCCTTTCTTTCTTTCTTCCTTCCTTTCTTTCTTTCTTTCTTTCTTTCTTTCTTTCTTTTCCATTCTTTTTGTTTTTCTTTCTTTCTGTAGTAGTGGAGAATTGAACCCAGGGCTTTCACACTGAGCTCTATATCTAGCTTTTTTATTTTCTGTTTTTTTGAAACAGGATCTCTTTTTGCCCAGACTGAGCTCAAACTTGCAATCCTCCTGCCTCAGCTTCCTAGAATGCTGGAATTACTGGTGTGCACCAGCATACCCACCTAGCACGCACGATTTATTACATAGAGTATCTCCAAGAACACTTATTGAATCAAGTAATGATGAATAACAGCTTTATTGAGCAAGATCTACATTTTTTTCCTTAGTTAAGCTGGATGTGATGGTGCACACCTGTAATCCCAGCACTCAGGAGGCTGAGGCAGGAGGATTGTTGCAAGTTTGAGACCAGCGAGGGCTACAAAGTGAGCTCAAGGCCAGCCTGAACTGCATAGTGAGACCCTGTCTCAAAAAGGAAAAAAAAAAATAAAAAATTTTTTTACTTATATTTAAAAGGTTTATATTTTTAATTGTTTAAAGGAAAAATGTCAAAATGCTAAAGAATGCAAGGCCAACCTGAACTGTATAGTGAGACCTTGTCTCCAAAAAAAAAGTAAAAGGTAATCTTAATATATTTTGTATTATATCTGAAGTAGTGTTTCAACATGTGTAATCAATGTCTTTTTAAATGAGTTATTCTTTTAGAGAAAGAATTGTTTTGTTTTGTTTTTTGAGAGGATCTCACTATACAGTTCAGGCTGGCCTTGAACTCACTGTATGTCCTGGGCTGGTCTCAAACTCATAGTAATCCTCCTGCCTTCACCTCCCAAGTCCTGGGATTACAGGTGTGTGCCACTGTGCCTGTCTATATAGACAGGGTCTTGTTGTGTTGCTGAGGCTGGCCTTGAACTCGAGCTCAAGCAGTTCTTCTGTGTTAGCTTCCCAAATAGCTGGACCTGTGGGCATGGCCACCATGCCAGGCCCTGTGGTGTATGCCCTAGCTCTTGTCTGTGCCTCTTGTCTGTCTCGCGCCTGTATGAGGAGGCAGTTTTTGAAGGAGGGAGAAGAGGCTGCCTGGGGTGGGATTGGGTTGAAGGTATGTCACAGGTGCTCTCTCCCTCATGTGCAGATCTGTGCAGTTCTGGCTGCTGTCACTGAGGTGATTCGCTCCCAAGGAGGAAAGGAGACCGAGACAGAATACTTTGCTGCTCTGGTGAGTGGGTGCAACTTGGGGTGGATACTGAGAGCACATTCTTCAGCCTATAGAGAGAATACAGGTGTCCCCAGCATGCGGGGACAAAGAAGGATATCCTTGCCAAGGAAAGGTGTTTCTGTCATACTCAGATGGCTTGGCAAGAGATGGGGTATTTGCTATACTCCCCTCTCCTCCTCTCCTCTCTTCTGTCTCCCTTGTCTGTTCTCTCTGTCTCCCTCCCCTCCCTCCCTATCTCCTCTCCTGTTCTCCCCTCCTCCTCCCCATTTGTCTGTCTGCCTACCTACCAGCTTTCCCCTTTGTTTCTCTCTCTCTTTTTTTTTTTTTTTGGTACCAGGAATCAAACTCAGGACCTTGTGCTTGCCAGGCAGGTACTTATGCCACTGAGCTATATCCCTGGCCTTCCCCCTCCCTCTTTGTTTCTTTCTCTCTCTCTTTCTCTGTCTCTCTCATTTATTTATTTATCTATTTATTTATTTGTTTGTTTTTGTCTTTTTGAGACAGCCTCTCACTATGTAGTTCAGGCTGGACTTGAGCCCTTTTGTAACCCAGGCTGGTCTCGAACTCACAGCTATCCTCCTGCCTCAGCCTCCCAAGTGCTGGGATTACAGGCGTGCGCCACCATGCCCAGCTCTCTGTCTCTTTCTTATCCTGTTATGCAGGCCAGGCTAGCCTTGGACCCTAAATCTTCCTACTTCAGCCTTTTGAGTGAAGGTGGACCAGTTAATTTGGTATAAATCTCAGTTCATTGTCTCACAAAGTTGGAGAATAAAACTGCAGACAAAAGGAAGAAGTTTAGAGAGTATTTATTGGAAAGAATAAAGAAAAAAAGCTCTTGGTGGGTACCAGAGAAGGGATTCTGCATAGAAGTCCGATATGCTTTCTTTGTTTTAGACTTATGTACATAAGCACAGTGGTGCGCAATTATTTTAAACAAGTAGCTTTATAGGTTTAGGATCTAAAGAAAATTACTTATTTTATTTAGCTGGTTCACAAGAAACTGGTTACTCTGAATTTCTATGTTTTTCTGAGTCTAGCCCTGAGGTGAAGGAGACGCTAATTTGACTAATTTAGGGTACTTTCTTCCTAAGGTCCTTATCTTCCCTCATATTTTAACGTTTATCATTTGTTTTTCTGTTTTCTTTTACATTTCTGAGTTTAGCTAGCTGCTTGCATCAGCTCTCAACCTGTGGCCTATTCTCTTTTATTGTATAGTTAGGCAGCTCTGATTTATAATACTACTCTGATTTTACAGGTGTGTACCACTACTCTTACCTTTCTTGATCTATGGAGGTGTAACTGTTTTTCCACTTGGGAAACTTCAAAGCATGGTCTGGGTATCCTTAGGACCTTTTTAGTGACCATGCTAGATCAAATTATCTCTGTTGATGATACTTTTCACTTTCATGAATTTACCAAGGAATTTTCCAGTAGTCATGTGACATCTGAGGACATTATTTGACAGTTAATGGAATGATGCTTCTGTATTCTTTTCCTTTTTTTTTTTGAGTCAAGGTCTTGCTATGTAGTACACAGTCTGGCCTTGAACTCATGGTGATCCTCCTGCCTCAACCTCCTGAGTGCTGGGATTACAGGCATGTACCATGATGCCCAGCTTGCTTCTGTATTCTTGTGTTTTAAGATTGTTCAGTTTTATTTTAATTTTATTTTTTGCTTTTACAAATGATTATGTTTATTAGTACATGTTTGCAATACATAATTTTTATTCATTGTTTTTCTTTTTCTTTTTCTTTTTTTTGAGACAAGGTCTTGCTATGCAGTTCAGGCTGGGCTTAAACTCACTGTACAGCCCAGGCTGGCCTTGAATTTGATTTTCCTGCCTCAGCCACTCAAAGGCTGGGATTAGGGCATGCACTACCACACCCACCTTTAGTTTTTATATTTTTAAGGGATTGTTAAAAAACGTGCAACAGAGAGATTATACGTGACCTCCAACATATGTTGTATATATATATACACACACACACACGTATGTGTGTGTTTCTGTTTTTAAAATTTTACTTATTTATTTTTTCCTAGCACTGGAAATTGAGCCCAAGCTATATCCCTCACCCTTGTTTTTTGAGACAGGGTTTTGCCATGTAGTTCATGCTGGCGTTGAACTCACAGCAATCCTCCTGGCTCAGCTTCATTTTTAAAAAGTTTTTAAAAAATAAGTTAAAGCCAGGCATAGTAGTGCATACCTGTAATCCCAGCACATCCAGTCCCAGCACTTGGAAGGCTGTGGCAGGACATCACTGCAAGTTGGAGGACAGCCTGAGGATAGGAAGACCCTGTCTCGGGGCTGGGGATTTAGCTCAGCGGCAAAGCGCCTGCCTGGCAAGCACAACGTCGTGAGTTCGGTTCCTGGTACCGGAGAAAAACCAAAAAAAAAAAAAAAAAACAAAAACAGGAAGACCCTGTCTCCAAAACTAAAAAAAAAAAAAGTTGAAGTTAAGTTGCCTGGCTGGGCTTGAATTTGAGATCCTCCCATCTCAGCCCCTCAGTGCTGGGATTACAGGCATGTGCCATCACACGTGGTAAAATATTTGTTACCAGTTCTTTATGGAAAATATTTACCACCCTCTGCTCTGGAAGAATGAAGTAAATTAGATGGCAGCATAGGATTTTTATGATGCCAGGCAATATTCTTTGTATTTTGCATGTATTAATTCAGTTAATAGTGCTACCTTCTGGGAAATGTATTGTTAGGAAGTGTTATCATTGTGTGACTATTTCGGAGTATATGTATACAAACTAGGACTGATACACTGTTGCTAGATGATTTTTTTTTTTTTTTTTTTGTACAGGGAATCGAACTCAGGACCTTGCACTTGCCAGGCAGGTGCTGTGCCACTGAGCCATCTTCCCGGCCCTAGATGATGTTATCTTAACGGATATTGTCTTGTAGTGGTCTGTCATTGAACCTTTTTTTATAACACACGACTGTGTTATACCTATCTTACATATTAGGAAAATGAGTCACAGATAGGTTAGGTTACCAGGCCAAAGTCACCTGGTGCCAGAGCCTGGATTTGAACCTCTGACACCATGGTTCTTGGTTGTAATTGCTACATTGGGCACATGGCTGTCCTTTCCTTCTTTCTCTTTCCTATTTGCATAGTCTGACACTGTTCACTCACACCCCTTTAATCTGGCCTTCAGATGACAACAATGGAGGCTGTGGAGTCCTCAGAGTCCCTGGCTGCTGTTGCTTACCTACTGAACCTTGTCCTGAAGCGGTGAGTCAAACGCCGGTCCCATTTGAACCCTAGATCTCTGCACAGAGGGGAGTGTGGACAGGAGGAACAGGATTTTTTTTTTTTATGATGAAAACATTTTGGAGATTGTCATACAACAGTTTGAATATATGTGGTACAACCAAACTGCACTTCAAAATGGTAGCTGGGTTGGGGTGGCATGCCTGTAATCCCAGCTACTGGAGAGGCTGAGGCAGAAGTATCTCAAGTTCAAGACCAGCAAGGGCAACTGTTTTTTTTTTTGTTTTGTTTTTTAGATAATTTCACTGTGTAGTTTAGACTGGCCTTGAACTCCCTGTGTAGACCTGAGCCCTTGGGTTACAAGCATGTGCCATGTCCAGCCAGCCTGGGCAACATAAGACCGTCTCTCAAAGTAAAATACTAAAGGGCTGTAGGTGTAGCTCAGTTGTGGAGTGCTTGCCTAAAAATGTACAAGCCCCTGGGTTTAGTCCTAGTACTGCAAAATGGTTAAGATGACAAGTTTTATGTATGTGTATTTTGCCACAGTTAGAAAAATAAAAAAATGTTAAGATTCTTGAGTATTGGCAGCATTCTACAACATCAGACTTGCTGTGGCTTGAGCTGTCCCACCATGGAGTAAGTGCTGGTGCCTGGGCAGGAGGAATGGCCTGGAATGTTGGCACCAGGCTGTGTGTAGACCTGCAGCTAGGGCAGGGCAGAGAGGATTGGTGGGTGGGTAGCACAGAGAATGGGTAGCAGGGAGGTGAGGGAAGCGGGAGCTCAGACATCACTGAGTGGCTGGCCCAGCAGTGCCCTTCCTTCATCAGCTTCCTTTATACCCCCAGGGCCTGCCCTAGCCACTCTTCAGAGGCTCCTTTGGGGTGACCTTCTCTGTTCTCCCAACAGTGTGCCCAGTCCTGTGCTCATTAAGAAGTTCTCTGATACCTCCAAAGCCTTCATGGACATCATGTCTGCTCAGGCCAGCAGCGGTTCCACCTCTGCCCTCCGATGGGTTAGTATCTATGGTGTCAGAGCCCCTCAGATTGATGGAAGCACGGGTGCTTCCTGGGAGGCACTCTGCCAATCTCAGTCAGATCCTTTTGGGATTTTCTGGAGTTGGTTAGAAGCTGGACCCTTTCCTCACGTCTCGGGCTGGTAGAACTGAGCAACTGTAACTCTTGTCTTCAAGGTCCTCTCCTGCATGGCCACTCTTCTTCGGAAGCAAGACCTGGAGGCCTGGGGTTACCCTGTGACCCTTCAGGTGTACCATGGGCTACTGAGCTTCACCGTGCATGCCAAGCCCAAGGTGAGACCGTGTGTCTCCAGGAAATGGGGGCTGGGCTGGCCTATGTGAACAGTGGGGGGGGGCCCTGTACTGGGCTCTTAGCCAGGCTTCTGCTTCTGATCTGCTTAGGCAGGAGAACCAGTGGCAGCCCTTTCTGAGTCTCTAGTGCCTCCTTGGTCAGTGACATGTGAATTTCTCACTGTGTCTTTACCTTGGCAAGGAGGGTGATATTGTGGGAGGAGGGGTTCTGGAGTCCCATAGACCTGAGATTGGTCTTAAACTCACTACTGTCGTGTCACTTCGGCCAGGTTACCTAATTGTCTCTAAGCCACAGCTTCCTCACCAACTGTAAAATAGGGAAAATAGTCCCAGCCTTGCTGTGGGGTTGGAGTCTTTCCCCAGTGTTCTCACGTCTGGTGCAGTTCTTGCCACATAGCAGGCATTCAGTAATGGTGGTTCCCTAGGGCAGGGGCATCTAATAATTACCATCATATCATCCTTCGTTGTTCTAAGCACTTTTAGCTCAGGGAGTCTCACACTTCCTTCCCTGTATGTTCACAGTCTTTTACCTTTTCCCCTCCCTTCTTTCCTTCCTTGATTAATTTGTTGAGACCTGGTCTTCCTATATAGTTCAGGCTGCCCTTGAACTCACTGTGTAACCCAGGCTGGCCTTGAACTTGTGGCAGTCCTCCTGTCTCAGCCTCTCAAGTGCTGGGATTATAAGTGTGTGCCATCACAGCTGGCTCTTTCTCTTACCTTTATGTTACTGCTGAAATGTTAGTTTATTAAGCACGCTATAAAAAGTAGTAACCTGCCAGGTAAGGAGCTGCAAGACTATAATCCCAGATTCTCGGGAGGCTCAGGCAAGATTACAAATTTAAGGCCAGTTTAGTGAGACCTTATCTGAAAATAAAATAAATAGGCTGGGAATGTAGCTCAGTAGTAGAGCACTTGCTAGCATGCATGAGACACTGGATTCAATCCCTGGTACTGCCCCCTGCCCCACAAAGTGATAACCCTGTGTTGTTGTTGTTGTTTTGTTTTTTGAGACAATGTTTCACTATATAATTGAGGCTGGCCTTTAACTCACTGTATAGTAGACTGGCCTAACTCGCAGCAGTCCTCCTGCCTCAGCCTCCCCAAGTGCTGGGATTACAGGTGTGTGCCACCACTCCTGGCAAACCTGTTTTATTGTCTGGGGTTATTTTAGTACTAGAGATTGAACATAGAGTTTTCAAACTGAGCTGTATCCCCAGCCCTTTTTAAATATAGGGTCTCACTAATTCACTCAGTTATCCAAACTGGATTCACTTGTGACTGTCCTGCCTCAGCCTCCAACGGTGTTGGGATTATAACCATGTGCCACCAGATTCAGTTGCAAAGTACAGTGGTACCTCATTTCATGAGTGCTTTTGTTTGCAAATAATTTGGTTCACAAACAGAAGCATTTGGCAAAATTTTGTTTTTGTTTGCAAACTGCAGCAGGTGACAAACACAGTTATGGACATCTTTGTCACACAAACACAAATGTGACCATCTTTTCCAGAATCGTAGAACAAATTTGTGAACTGTGTTACCACTTGTACTTTTTACCTTTGGCTGCATATTTATTTTCTGCCCCTCAAGTAGGATATTAGTTGTTCACTGGCAGTTGCTAACATGGAGAGTGGCACCTGGCTTAGGGACTCTTGGCGTTTGCTGCATGGTTGAATGACTGAATTTCTATCTGAGAGATGAGAATACTTGGACTCAGATAAATAGTTGGACTTGGACAGGGCCGTTTGGTGAGTTAGTAGAGCACTCAGCATTCTATATGCGAGAAGGCCCTGGTATAGTGATATGTATATAGTAGGTGTTCAGTCAAAACTTGGCAGTTGGCAGAATACTGATCTGGCCTTGTCCGCCCATTTCTTGCCCCTCAGGTCCGGAAGGCTGCCCAGCATGGAGTGTGCTCAGTGCTTAAGGGCAGTGAATTCATGTTTGGTGAGAAGGCCCCTACCCATCATCCTGCTGCTGTTTCCACTGCCAAGTTCTGTATCCAGGAGATTGAGAAGTCTGGAGGTTGGTGGCCAAGCTGAGGGCAGGTGTATCAGAAGTGGTAGACAGTGGAGGAGGGTTGGTAATAAATCTCCCCCTTTCTGTCCCAGGCACCAAGGAGGCCACCACCACACTACACATGCTGATGCTGCTGAAAGATGTGCTACCCTGCTTCCCAGAAGGCCTGGTGAAGACCTGCAGTGAGACGCTCCTCCGGGTCATGACCTTGAGTCATGTGGTGAGCTCAAGCCACAGGAAAAACGGGGGGCCCTGTGGTCGTGGCATTTGGGGAACTCACTTGTCACGCAAAAAGCAGGAGTTAGCACTGGATGCAGTGGTGCATACTGATGGTTCTAGCTACTCAGGAGATTAGTTGAGCCTAAGAGTTTGAGACCATCCTGGGCAACAGACTCTCAAAAAATAAGCCAATCATTGTGGTGTATCCTGTAATCCCAGCACTCAAGAGGCTGAGGCAAGAGGATCTCTGTGAGTTCAAGGCTTGCCTGGGCTACACAATGAGTTCAAGACCAGCCTGAGCTATGTAGTGAGATCCTGTCCCAAAAAACCAAAAACTTAAAATAAAATTGAAAAGTAGGATCTGAGGTCTCCCTGCCCTGACCCTGCTCTTATACTAAAACTGAGGATGCCATGACATCCACAGTGTCAAGAGAGGCCAGGCCCCCTCAGGGTCCTAGTGCAGTTGGATGCTGACATCAGAGATAGGTCATAGTGAGGATTGGTGGTGTGGCTGCAAAAGTCACCTTCCCTCCCCTCAAGCTCCACTCCATCCAGAATTGTAGTTATTTCTACTTTATACTATTTATTTTTGTTTGCTTACTTGCTTACTCACATGTCATTATAGCAGCTTTAAAGATATCTTAACATTTATCCCCTGGGGACTGGATGTATAGATCAGTGGTAGAGTGCTTGCTTAAAGTGTGTGAGGGTTTGGGTTCAATTCCTAGCAACACACACACCACCACCACAAAAAAAAA